ACCAGATAACAGAGGGAATGGTAGAGATGAGAAGAGGCTCCAGGACTGATGTCTAGGCCCCTCCAACATATAGAAGCCTGGAAAATGAGAAAGAACCGGCAAACATTATTTGACTCTGTGACTCTTTTCAGAATAAGTTGCTAAACAGAGGAAAATCAGAAAAATATGGTTTTAAACAAAAAAAGAAAATAAATAAAGAAAAAAATGGGGCCGGGCACAGTGGCTCACGCCTGTAATCCCAACACTTTGGGAGGTGGAGGCGGGCGGATCAGGAGGTCAGGAGATTGAGACCATCCTGGCCAACATGGTGAAACCCCGTCTCTACTAAAACCACAAAAAATTAGCTGAGTGTGGTGGTAGGTGCCTGTAATCCCAGGTACTCTGGAGGTTGAGGCAGGAGAATCACTTGAATCTGGGAGGCGGAGATTGCAGTGAGCCGAGATTGCGACACTGCACTCTGCCCTGGTGACAAAGCGAGGTTCCATCTCAAAATAAATAAATAAATAAATAAAAATAAGAATACATTAAAAAAAGAAAAAAAGAGAAAAATATGGTTTTTAGTTTGAAATAATTAGCATAGCTTACCTACCAATCGTTGCTAAGTGTATCATTCTTGAAAACAACTGTAATAGCATCTTGTACAAAGCTTGGTACAAAACTACTGGTGAATTAAATGGAAATGTTTATTGATTGACTTAGGGTTTCTTTCAGTTTCTCGGTGTTGTTAAAAAAAATGGGGGAAATGAGAGCTTTATTCGCTTTCAGCAACTTACTCAGTCTGGAGGAAACTGACCCCCAGGCCTTCCCCAGCAGCCCCCATACTCTGCAGGGAGCCTTCAGACTGGATTTCCCAACTCTGCTCCAGCCAAGCTAACCTTCCTTTCAGAGTATAACTGCAGTGCCAAGTCCTGGGCTCCCTGAGGAACTTCTCCTTCCTTTCTGTGAAGGCAAAGAAAGATGAGCTTTATTTTGATGGTCTTCTAGTGCTTCTCAGCCTTTAAGACTAACTCTCCAACAAGGAGCACACAAAGTTCTGGGTTTAAGAGAATTGAATGCAAGCTTTGGCTTATTAAAACTTGTCCTTTTGAAAAAGGACCACAAACTACAATGTTTGGCAAAATGTGTAGTGTTGCAGGGTGTGTCTTTCTGTTAGTGCTGGATTGCGATGGCAGTTTATGCCAACCATATGGATGCAGTGACAGTCTTCTTGGGAGGCGGTGGTGGCCACGGTGAGATTAGAGGAGAGAGCAGCAGACTGCTATATTAGGAGCAGCCACAAAAGGAACTAGCAATTTTTTTTTTTTTTTTTTTTTTTTGAGACAGAATCTCTCGCTCTGTCACCCAGGCTGGAGTGCAGTGGTGCCATCTCAGCTCACTGCAACCTCCGCCTCCCGGGTTCAAGCAATTCTCCTGCCTCAGTCTCCCGAATAGCTGGGACTACAGGCATGTGCCACCACACCCAGCTAATTTTTGTATTTTTAGTAGAGATGGGGTTTCACCATGTTGGCCATGCTGGTCTCGATCTCTTGACCTCATGATCCACTCTCCTTGGTCTCCCAAAGTGCTGGGATTACAGGCATGAGCCACTGCACCAGGCCAGAAATAGCAATTTTTACGCCCCAGGAAAACTTCCTAAACTGCCCCAGCCCAAATTCTCCTCTGTCCATCATCAGGCCTGCTTCATCTCCCTAGCAACAGATTCGCTGATTCTATTGTAACTTCTCTGGGCACGAAAGCCAGGACCCTGTGCATTTCAGTAACTGTACGTTGGGCCTTCAACCTCCCTGTCTTCACTACCGTTGCCTTTTAAAGCACCAAACTCCAAAATGATTAGAACTAGACTGTGAGACAGGTTGAATAGATTTGGAAACACCATTCAATGTGGGTTTAGATATTGCCTGAATCAAAAGTGAAGACTTGGCTGGACACAGTGGCTCATGCCTGTAATCCCAGCACTTTGGGAGGCCGAGGCCAGTGGATCACCTGAGGTCAGGAGTTCGAGACCAGCCTGGCCAACATAGTGAAACCCTGTCACTACTAAAAATACAAAAATTAGCCGGGTATGGTGGTGGGTGCCTGTAATCCAAGCTACTCGGGAGGCTGAGGCAGGAGAATCACTTGAACCTGGGAGGCGGAGGTTGCAGTGAGGTGAGATCACACCACTGCATTCCAGCCTGGGTGACAGAACAAGACTATGTCTCAAAAAAAAAAAAAAAAAAAAAAAAAAAAAATGACATGTTGAACATTCTTTTTTTTAAATTTATTAAAAAAAAATTTTTTTTAAAGAATGGAGATGGGGTCTTGCTATGTTGCCCAGGCTGGCCTAGAACTCCTGGGCTCAGGCAATCCTCCTGTCTCAGCCTCCGAAAATGCTAGGATTACAGGTGTGAGCAACTGTGCCTGGCCTGCACATTCTTCAGGCCTCTGAGAGTAAGCTCATCTTCCCCAGCTCTGCTCTCCTAATCACCAGTGGAAAGGAGGGGTGGGGAAGAGAGCAACACTGGCACCAAGCTACAGCCTAATAGACAGTCTGTTTTTGTTGCTGGCTGGACTGCCCTGCTTCGACTATGTATTATTTTTAAAAGTCCTTCTCTAGTTTCCTGTTGCTTATGGTACAGGGACTAGCCTTGTTGGCCTCTCATTCAAAGCTTCACGCCACTTACTCTTTCCACAGTAGTAAACCATATCCTCTTAAACATCCCCTGCACGTAAACACAGCAGTGTGCGCGCGCGCGCGCGCACACACACACACACACACACACACACACACACAGAGACACTCGTTTCACTGTGACCACAAGGTCTTTACCCCCAAAGTCTTCCCACATCTCTAGGCCTTTCTCCAAGTCTTTCCCTGGTCCCTTAGCTCTCAAATCCACCTTCTCAAACCCTAATTTATGCTGTTCTCTGGGCTGTCAGAACCCTTTATAATATGGCTTGGCACCGTCTACACGGCACTCAAGAGAGCTGTGTAAGCTCCTGCTTCCCTCCTCCCTCCCCAGTGCCCATGCACACAGGAGACTAAGTTCTCTGAGTGCAAAATAATAACACCGTGACAGTCACATGGCAGGGGCTCGGGGACCTTCAGAGAATCAAATTAAACAAGACTTTGCTGTTTCAAAATGATACCAGACTAGCAGCTCCCACGGTAGCTTCTCTACATGTCCTGTACGAGGACTCTAAAAGAGACGAAAATTCAAAAACAACAAACTGGCATGTGACCTAGGACTTAGACAGATCAAATGCTTTCCAGCTGTGGTTCCGAGAAGGTGGGTGACCTGACACTTGACCAAGGCAGCCACCTGAGCACAGCTTCAGAAAGGTGCTCCCAGCAATTCATTCTCTTGCTAGAAATTTATTCTAAGAAATAACCAAGTATGCTGATAAAGATTTAACCATGGCCGGGCTCGGTGGCTCATGCCTGTAATCCCAGCATTTTGAGAGGCCGAGGCAGGCCCGATCACTTGAGGTCAGGAGTTCAAGACCAGCCTGATCAACATGGTGAAACCCCGTTTCTACTAAAAATACAAAAATTAGCCGGGCACAGTGGCAGGTGCCTGTAATCCCAGCTGCTCAGGGGGCTGAGGTATGAGAATCACTTGAACCTGGGAGGTGGAGGTTACAGTGAGCTGAGATTGCACCACTGCACTCTGGCCTGGGAGTGAGACTCTGTCTTAAAAAAAAATTATATATATATATATATATATATATATATATATATATATATATAGAAAGGCAAAAAACAGAGAGGTAACAGAGATGTAGATAAGAGCCTAAGTTAATCAGAGAATTTAGATTGGATTTCATCTACCAGGTACTTGCTGAGTGTTCCTGGAGAAAGTTCCTTAACTTTTCCTTTTTGTAAAATGTGCTTTAAAACAGTGGCTAAGGGCCAGGCATGGTGGCTCATGCGTGTGATCCCAGCACTTTGGGAAGCCAAGGCTGGAGGATAGCTCGAGCCCACAGACCTCACACCCTTCACAAAATTAACTTAAAATGGATCACAGACCTAAATGTAAAACACTAAACTACAACATTCCTGGAGGATAACTTAGGAGAAAATCTAGGTGACCCTGGGCATGGCAATGATTTTTAGATATACTCAAGGCATGGTCCTGAGGGAAAAAAAATTGATAAGCTGGACTTCACTGAAATTTAAAGCTTCTACTCTGTGAAAGAGAAGATCAAGAGAATAAAAAGACAAACAATAGAAAATATTTGCAAGAGTCACATCCAATAAAGGACTGCTATCCACTATAAATAAAGAACTCCTAAAACTCAACAATGAGAAAAGAAACCACCCAATTTAAAAATGGGCAAAAAATCATGAACAGACACCTTACCAAAGATGATATACAGATGGCAAATAAGCATACAAAAAGATGTTCAACATGATATGCATTAGGGATTATAAATAAAAATAACAATGTCATACTACTACACATCTATTAGAAGGACCAAAATTCAAAACACTGGCAACACCAAATGCTGGCAAGAATGTGGAACAACAGGAACTCTCATTCATTGCTAGTGGGAATGCAAAATGGAACAGCCACTTTGGAAGACGGTTTGGCAGTTTCTTTTTTTCTTTTTTTAGAGATGGAGTTTTGCTCTTGTCATCCAGGCTGGAGTCCAATGGTGTGGTCTCGGCTCACTGCAACCTCCACCTCCTGGGTTTAAGCAATTCTCCTGTTTCAGCCTCCTGAGTAGCTGGGATTACAGACACCCACCACTATACCTGGCTAATTTTTTGTATTTTTAGTAGAGACAGGGTTTCACCATGTTGGCCAGGCTGGTCTCGAACTCCTGACCTCAAGTGATCGGCCTGCCTCGGCCTCCCAAAGTGCTGGGATTACAGGCGTGAGCCACCACGCCAGCCATGGCAGTTTCTTACAAAACTAAATGTACTCTTACCATATGTATTAGTCAGCTCATGCCCCCATAACAAAATATTGTTTCTGGCTTAAACAACAAAAATTCATTAATTTGTTTTGTTTTTGTATTTTTTTGTTTGTTTATTTGACAGAAAATTCAAGAAATTATTTTTTTCACAGTTCTAAAGGCTAGAAGTTTAGGATCAAGAATCTGGGCAATATGGCTTCTGCAGGCTGTCCTCCTGACTTCAGATGGCCACCTTCCAGCTGTGCCCTCACATGGCCTCTCCTGGGGCCTGGGTATGGGCAGGGAGAGAGAAAGAGGGAGAGGGAGTGGGAGGGAGAGAGAGAGAAAAAGAAAGCACTTTTTAGTGCTTTTTTTTTTTTTTAGTGTGTCATAAGAACACTAATCCTACCAGATCAGGGTCCCACCATCATAACCTCATTTAACCTTGATTCATTCCTGTGATGTAATAAGAAATATGTTATGTAGTCTCTGCCCTTGGCTCCTGACACAGAGCTCCTAAATCCCTTGTGATTTCCTGGGTGGTAAGAGCATCTTTTATTCTAATGAGGTGAATCCTGGTGGTCTCTGGGACAGCCTCAGGATGAGGGCTCATCACCAGAAAGACCAGGCCATGATTGGAAGCTTGAAACTTTCAGTCCCATCCCCCATCCTCTGAGGAGTGGGGAGGGGCTGGAGACTGAGTTAATAATTAATCATGCATAGGTGATGAAGTCGCCACAAAAAAAATCTCTAAACTACAGGGTTCAGAGAGCTTCCGAGTAGTTGAATGAGTCCATGTGCTGGGAGGGTGGCGTACTCCAGCCCCATGAGGACAGAAGCTCCTGCACTCAGGACCCTCAGTACCTTGCTCTAATTACCTCTTCACTGGACTGTTCCTCTGAATCTACTGTGGCCTGACTGCGTTTCTCCAAAATTCATATGTTGAAATTCTAACACCCAAGATGATAGTACTAGGAGGTAGGGCCTTTGGGAGGTGATTAGGTCATGAAGGTGGAGCCCTCATGAAAGGGATTAGTGTCTTTATAAAAGAGAGCCTGGCTAGGCACAGTGGCTCACACCTGTAATCCCAGCACTTTGAGAGGCTGAGGCAGGTGGATCACTTGAGGTCAGGAGTTCAAGACCAGCATGGCCAACATGGCGAAACCCCATCTCCACTAAAAATACAAAAATTAGCTGGGTGTGGTGGCATGCGCCTGTAATCCCAGATACTCTGGAGGCTGAAGCAGGAGAATCACTTGAACCCAGGAGGCGGAGGTTGTAGTGAGCTGAGATCACAGCCCACTGCACTCCAGGCTGGGCAACAGAGCAAGACTCTGTTTCAAAAAAAAAAAAAAAAGACCCTGGATAGCTCATTTGTCCCTGTGTCACCATGTAAGGACACAGTAAAAGGAGAGCCTCTCTCTATGAGGAATTGGGTCCTCACTAGACACTGACTCTGCTGGTACCCTTATCTTGAACTTCTCAGCATCCAGGACCATAAGAAATCAATTTTTTTTTGTTTATTAGCCACCCAGTTTATGCAGAACAGCCCAAACAGACTGTCAGTATCCTTTTCTTATATAGAGTGAGACAGGATCTCACTATGTTGCCCAGGCTGGTCTTGAACTCCTGGGCTCAAACAATCCTCCCACCTTAGCCTCCAAAAGTGCTGGGATTATAGGCATAAACCACCACTCCCAGTCTGTTCGTATCCTTTTTAACGTCCTTTATAATTAACTGGCAAATGTGAAGCAAAGTGTTTCCCTGAGTTCTATACGCCATTCTAGCAAACTATCCGACCTGTGGGGTAGCGTGTGGGAACGTGCAACTTCATAGCCATGCTACGCAGAAGTATGGGACGCTGGTGTCTTTGTCCATTTGTGTTGCTATCAAGGAATACCTGAGGCTGGTGATTTATAAAGAAAAGAGACTTATTTGGCCCTTGGTTCTGCAGGCTGTACAAGAAGCATGGTGCTAGCAACTGCTCAGCTTCTGGGGAGGGCCTCATGGTGTTTCCACTCATGGTGGAAGATGATGGGGGGCCTGTGTGTGCAGATCAGATGGTAAGAGAGAGAGCAAGCCGGGGTGGGATGAGGGGGTTGGGGGGCAGACACGCCAGACTCTAACAATCAGGTCTTGCAGGAACTAGGGCAAGAGCTCACGCATGACCTCAAGGATGGTGCCAAGCCGTTCATGAGGGATCCTCCCCAATCACCCAAACACCTCCCACTAGGCCCCCTTTTCAATGTTGGGGATCGAATTGCAACATGAGACTTGGAGGGGACAAATATCCAAACTCTATCACCTGCCAACCCATTTTGCGGCTAGCATCTGAAGTAGGGGTGTTCTTGCGGGACTGGCCCTTTCACCTGTGGGTGTGATCCTGACTGGGTCGTTAGTGTGAGAACTGAATGGAGTCATCTGACATTCAGTTGGAGCCTGGAGAATTGGCTCTTGGAGTGGAAAGAACTCACACATTTGGTGTCAGAAGTGCTGCAGGCAGAGAAGCAGTTTTCTTCTACTTCCTTAGACGCCCATCTCCAAAAACAGCCATACTGAGGTTATGGCTTCAACATATGAGTTTTGGAGGGACACAAGCATTCAGTCCAAATATCATATGATCCAGCAATTGTGCTTCTTGGTATTTACCCAAAAGAGTTAAAAACATATGTGCATACAAAAATCTACACATGGACGTTTTATTTGTAAATGACAAAACTTCAAAGCAACCAAGATGTCCTTCAGTAGATGAATGGCTAAATAAACTGTGGTATATCCAGACAATGGAATATTATTGCACTAAAATAAAATGAGCTCTCAAGCCATGAAAGGACATAAAGAAATCTTAAATGCAATTACTAAGTGACAGAAGCCAGTCTGAAAAGGCTACATACTGTACGATTCAACCATTTGATATTCGGCAGAAGGCAAAACCGTGGAGACAGTAAAAAGATTAGTGGTTGCCAGTGCTTAGTGGGGAAGAAGGGATGAAGAGGTGGAGCACAGTGGATTTTCCGGGCAGTGAAACTATTCTGTATGATACTATAATGGCGGATGTGTGTCATTATACGTTTGTCAAAATTCATAGAATGTACAACACCAGGCCGGACGCGGTGGCTCACGCCTGTAATCCCAGCACTTTGGGAGGCCAAGGCGGGCAGATCACAAGGTCAGGAGTTCAAGACCAGCCTGGCCAATATGGTGAAACCCCATCTCTACTAAAAATACACAAATTAGCCGGGCATGGTGGCGGGTGCCTGTGGTCCCAACTACTCGGGAGGCTGAGGCAGGAGAATTGCTTGAACCCGGGAGATGGAGGTTGCAGTGAGCCGAGATTGCACCATTGCACTCTAGCCTGGGCAACAGAGCGAGACTCTTGTCTCAAGAAAAAAAAAAAAAGTAAACACCAAGAGTGAATGTTAATGTAAACTATGAACTTTGGGTGACAATGATGTGTCAGTGGAGGCTCCTTGAGCAAATGTACCATTGTGATGGGGGATGCTGACAGCAGCTAAGGTTATGCCTATGTGGGGGGCAGGTGGAACATGGGAACTCTGTACTCTCCACTCAATTTTACTGTGAACCTAAAACTGCTCTAAAAAGTAAAGTGTATTTTTAAAGTGTCTGTCTCCTTGGGTGTCCATGAGAGTTAAGTGATTTTATTCGCCCAGGCTGGGCGAATTACAGGTGTGAGATTACAGGGATTACAGGTGTGAGCCACCGCGCCTGTCCTAAGTGATTTTATTTCCGTAGAATTGTTGGAAGAACACGTGGCACAGAGTGAGCATTCGATACATTTTAGCTAAAATTCAGTGAAATCAGCACATACACATAAACCAGAAGAGATTTTTAAAAACGCAAATGACAGCAGACTCCCCATCTGGCTGGAAGAGGCCAGGCACTTCCTATCCCAAACCCAGAGAACCTGGCTCTGAGTGGAAAAAAACACACATCGTGGTTTCCTTTGCTCTCACACCACAACCAACACAGAAGACTGCCATGACCAAATGTGTGTGGGGGGTTCAGGCAACCAATTCTGCAGCTAATAACAGCTGGGTGTCCTCCAGTTCAATTCTGACACTGTCTTTTTGGAGATCTCATCAGATTTCAGATTGGGGGTTAGTCTCCAATACTGCCCCCACTTCAGACAGTAGTCACAAGTCCAGGCCTCTGGAATTTCTGAGCAACTGGCTTCGAGTTGGGGTTCCCACAACCCTCTCTTTGGGTTTGATTAATACGCTAGAGTGGCTCACAGAACTCAGGGAAACCCTTATGTACATTTACCTGTTTATCGTTTAGAACATTACAAAGGATACAGATGAAAAGATGCATGAGGCCGGGCGCGGTGGCTCATGCCTGTAATCCCAGCACTTTGAGAGGCCAAGGCGGGTGGATTACCTGAGGTCAGGAGTTCGAGACCGGCCTGGCCAACACGGTGAAACCCCATCTCTACTAAAAATACAAAAATTAGCTGGGTGTGGTGGCACACGCCTGTAATCCCAGCTACTCGGGACCTGAGGCAGGAGAATTGCTTGAACCCGGGAGGTGGAGGTTGCAGTGAGCTGAGATCACGCCATTGCACTCCAGCCCAGGCAATGAGAGTAAAACTCTGTCTCAAAAAAAAAAAAAATGCCTGGGGTGAGGTTGGGTGGGGGCATGGAGATTCCATGCTGTCTCTGAGGGCCACCGTCCAAGAACCTCCATGTGTTCAGCTACCCAGAAGCTCTCTGAGCCCTGTTTTCTTGGCCCTTAAGGGAGGCTTCATTGGATGGGCATGACTGACAACTGTGTAGAAATGTGACTGGGTAAAAAGGGTATGACCTGATATTCATAAGCTGAGTGGGGAAATCCCACAAGGCCTGTCTGTTCAGGTTCCTCATGGCCTCTGCGCAGCACTCCTTCCTCCAAGGTAATGGGCAGGACCCCTTCTGAAAGGGGGGTCTTGTGACCTATATATAGTCAGACAAGAGAGGCCAGAGAATTTATGACCAGCTCTGAGACAGAAATCTGGGGAAAGATTTCTGCCTTGGGGAGAGAAAGGAAGGCAGGAGAAAGTCAGAGAGAGAGGCCAGGCATGGTGGCTCACACCTGCAATCCCAGCACTTTGGGAGGCCGAGACGATAGGACCACTTGAGTCCAGGGGTTCGAGACCAGCCTGGGCAACTCAGCCAAACCACCTCTCTACAAAAAAGACAAAAAAATGTTAGCCAGGCATGGTGGTACACACCTGTAGTCCCAGCTACTCAGGAGGCTACCGCTGAGCCTCGGGAGGGCAAGGGGGCAGTGAGC